GTTTTGAGCAGGGACTGGATAACCATTTGGGAGAAATACTCCAGAAGGCATTCATCTTCTGTGTAGGAGCTGCACCAAATAACTTGGGAGAGTAAATCCAAGGTCTCTTCTGATTCTGACATTAATGCAAAACCATTTGCAGATAGCTTTTGGAGACCCTCACCATCAACATGGAAGCTTTTTGTTAAGATTTTCTGCATTAATTAAACATTTATTTAAAGTGTGAAAGTTTTAGGAGTTAGATTCCCTATCCCTTGATTTGGACTGATTGCGTTACTGGCAGCAAATGGCCTGCGATTTTGCCTTCTGGGCCCCTGTCCCTTGAATACGTGACTACCTGTCACTTGCCCCACATTTTATCTGACAACTCTATGTTCATATAAATAATTCAGTGTGAGAATAGTGTTTTCAGGCGCCTGCATCTCCTCCAGGGCAGGCTGGAAATCCATTTTCAGAAGGTTTTATTATTATTCAGTGTCTGACTCAGTATTTCACATTCCTGGTTTTGTGAGATAGAAAAAAAAGCCTAAAGGTTTCTCTTTCATTTCAAAATTGGCTGTTTTCATCTAAATAATGATAAGCCATCTTTTCTGCAAGGTTATCTCAGCAGGCACACAGATTTCAGATGTACACACACACACACACACATGCACACGACTGACTTCTGTTGATATAATTGATTGAAATGCATAATGTGATGGTCGGGGGATAAAAATAGGAAGGCAATCAGTGAGACTGGGCATGAAATGTGCCAGGCACACACAAGGAGAGCACTTCTCTCTCTCTCTCTCTCTCTCTCTTCCCCTCCCTCCCTCCTTCTCCCACCTTCCCTCTTCTTCTCCCTCCCTTCTCCCTCTCCCCTTCTCTCTTTCTAGGCTAGGACATTTACATGCCATTAGTAAGTCACTGAAATGGAAATCTTGTGACACTGGGGAACATGTGAGAAGTTAAAATCGAATTAACCCTTTCCACAAATAGAAGTGGTTCAGGAGGGGAATTGGCAATGTGCCTGACAAGCTGACAGATTGGGCTTCAGTAGGACATGTTCCTGGAGAGTTTCTGGACCTTTGAACCTGTGAAATGGCAGCTCTCCATCATTCCCAAATACTCATATAGCTTAGTGCCATGGTGATGTACCACAGTGGGGACTGGAAACCAAGTTCAGAAAAAGATACTAAAGGCATTGCCCACGGGTCCTGTGTACATTTAGATGTATATGTATGTATGTATTTATTGTATATTTGTGTACATGTCTATATACCTATATTCATGTCTGCATGTATATACATACACACACATACCTATTAGGTCTCTGCATCTGGAGATAGACGAGGTAGTTGACTGGGATTAGCAGAAGTGAAACTAGCATGATGGAATCAGGACTGGAATCTTAAGGTGCTTTCCCTTCTATGGAATGCTTTGGTGTTTGAGGTAATACACATGACATAAAAATTAATACATAAAATTATGTATTAATTTGTATATTTGCATATTTCTATACATATTATGAGAAAGGTAGGAAAATTCACTTAAATACTTTTCTTATTTTTGTTGAGTGGGACTGAGTAGCCTTGTCAATACTTCTGCATTGAAATGTGTGACCTGAAAAGGAACATGGGACCCAGAATTTTAGGACCTTGAGTAAATCACATGACTTTTCGTGCCTCAGTTTCCATGACTTTCAAATAATTTTCAGAAAGATTTATATCAGAAATATATGTCAGAAATGCTTATATACTGTTTTAAAGTTTTTCAAATGCTTTACATATATTATCTTGTTTAGTTGAGATAAAAGAAAGTTGGTGCAAAGGCTCACCAAGGGTCCTTCCATATTTCAAAACCCATGAAATTACGATGCTTCGTTTAACTTTATGCTTAAAAGTAAGCTTCTTGGAATTGGGCAAGCTCATTGGAATTTTCAAAATGGCAGATTCCTGTGGCCTTCTGACTCCTTGCTTAGCATTATACTTTGGATTTTTTAGTAACTCCATGTGCAGAAGCCAGGAATTTTTCATCGCAGTGAAAGAGAGAAATAGTCATAGCTTCCATCCTCAGTATGGTACTTTAAGGCTGACAAAGCACTTTACGTACATCATTTACATGTAAACATTGTTTACATTGGAAACATGTATGTTTACATACATTATCTCACTTAATTGTAATAAACCTAGTTTTTCACATAAGTTTAGCGAGGTTATGATTGCCTATTGACAAGGTGAGGTCCAGACCTGTGAGCTAAGCTCTTTAGACTATGTTACCTCCATTATCGAGATGAGGAAACAGGATGAGAACAGTTAGTCAGTTGAGTGACTTGGTTTGAATTGAATCTAGACCTTCCTGGGCCCAAGGCCAGTCCTCTTCCTAGATTACCACATATAAAGCTGTAAACTCCCCTAGCGTTTTTTTCTAGGATGTCTTCTTTCCTCTACCCTTTTGGTCGTGTTTGGTTTGTCAGTTTTGACCAGAGACAAACGTGTTCAGGGAGTCTTTATTTCAGAACCTAACCTAAAGGAAAGTTCAGTTCCACTCTGGTCCTGGGAGCTCTGTTTTTTTCTTTCCTGTAATAAGGAAGAAACTACCCTATCTGCCACAAAGTTTCCTTTCCATGTCTTCAGTGTTTCCTTCACTAACTGCATAGAAATCTGGGCTCCAAAGGAAAACCCACTGCACACATAAAGGATAAAGAAAGTTTTGCTTGGCAAGAAATAGTTCCTGGTTAAAAAAAAAGTTTGGGGAAGGGGGTGTTTCTAGACAACCACTAGACCAGTATTTCTTAACAGGGTAACATAAAAAAGCCAAGAAAGGTAAGGTGAATCCTAGGCCACATTGAGAAAAGTTGAGTATTTTAATGGCAGAGATAGCAGTCCTAAAATAGGAAGCTTGCCTCAGAACACATATACCATGTGGTGTTCAGGTCTTGGTGCCCCATTTTAGGAATGACAGGGGACTGAGGGATCAGTTAAAGGCACTGGGGAAGTACAGTTTGGACAAAGTTTAGAGGAGTTCTGAGGAAGGAGGCAGTATTCCTGGTGGGGGGCTTAGGAAGACTTCATGGAGGAGATGGTGTTGACCAAGGGTCTTGAGGGACAGTTACATTCTATTGGAGGACTTCCATTTCCTACACCCAGAGTCTTTGGTCCTTAGATCCTTAAAACGAACAAACAAACAAAAACCCCAAATCAAGTCCTAACTCATTCTCTAGACTTCAGGACAAAACCACTGTCGTTGAAGGGATCAGGATCCTAACTCAGTTGGTATTTCTTGACCAGACAGATTGGTGGTACAGTGGATAGAGTGCCAGCCCTGCAGTCAGGAGGACTCTTTGTGAGTTCAAATATGGCTCAGACACTTACCAGTTGTGTGACTCAATTTTTCAGATAGTTATTTAAAATAAATTAAGATTCAGGGGCAGCTAGGTGGCACAATGGATAGAACACTTACCCTGGAGTCAGGAGGACCTGAGTTCAGATCTGGCCTCAGACGCATAACACTCACTAGCTGTGTGACTCTGGGCAAGTCACTTAACCCCAATTGCCTCACATAAAAAAATAAATAAATAAAGATTCACAAAACACTTTAAATACAGTATCACATTTGATACTCCCAACAACCCCTGTGAGGTAGGTGTATTATTATTCCTATTTTATATATGAGGAAATGGAAATCGAAAGAGCTTAGCTGCCTTTTGCAGCATCCCCCAGCCTGCATCAGAGTTAGGATTTGAATTCATGTCTTGCTGATCCTAATTCTTACACTCTATGTGCCCAGACATCACCTTGCCCTTGCGACGGCTAAACCACTAGATGTTTCCAAGATCTCCCTCACACCCAGAAAGAAAATTGCAGCCTGTGTGTTCAAGGAGTTGTTGTGATCTCCATGTGACATCCAGCCCCTTCAGAGGGTCAACTGATTACACACTGACTGTGCAAAAATAGTCATTTGGTAGTAAGCCTTGTTTTATGGGGACTGTTATGTGGGCAGAGCTCCACCCCCACCTACCCACCCCCGTCCCTTCCAAGGGGCTCAGGCTTGGAACTACTGACTTCACAACCCTCCAGCGGACAGATTCTCACATAAATCCTCTTCCATACGAGGTGTCTGCTTCTGCCCGTACAGGCGTCTTCCTAGTCCCATGGGTCAGCCAGAAGTCTTTAAAATCACATGGACCTCCAATCTGGACTGTTACTGGGTTTCACCTTTGAGAACATTAAGACCAAGGGACAATGTCACGTCATAAATCTTGTCAGGACTACTCCCTCACTGGAGTGATTAACCTACCCATTAGTAACCCCAACATCTGCTGGTCGATAACCCAAGAGGAAAACATAGACACACAAAGAGTTAGAGCGTGTGGGTCCTGATCTAAGCTCAGCCACGTATTCCCTCTCTACATATGCATGCGTATGCATGTGGTTTTCCATGCATTTGTTTGTATACATATGTCTATACTTTATAGCAGATAACATGTATGCATAGGTATTTCCATGTATAGATCATTCCATATGCATGTATATGATTTGCATGTGTGTATGTATGCATGGGCTACTCCTGTGACTTTGCTGCTGGAGAGAATTCCTAGACCAGGCCCTCTTCTTTAGTGTATAGTCCTAGAGACGATACATACATATGCATATACAGAAATACATATATACGTACTATAAACATATGTGTCTGTATGCCCATATATCTGTATACATCAGGATATCTAATTCTTTTTTCAGATTTTGCGGTTGGGTCAAGAAATGAGGACATAGTAACAGATGTTATTATTATCGTTATTATTGTTATTTTAGAAAGTAAAGAAAAATGGTTCCTGTATTGACCTATTTCGTTCTTTCAGTTATGCCTGTTGAATCACTGTCTTAGGACGTTAGGTCCAGCACATAAAGATGAGGTTAAGAATAGAGAATGCAGGAACTGATGAGCCTTTTAAAAATTAAAGCAGTTGGAGCTCTATTTTAAAAAAATTTTTATCGATTTTTTTTTGTCTCAATCCCCAGCCTCAGAGCCCAACTTGAAGGTGCGATCCCGATTAAAACAGAAAGTGACAGAGAGGAGAAGCAGTCCTTTACTCAGGCGGAAGGATGGAAATGTTGTCACTTCATTCAAGAAGCGAGTGTTTGAGGTGACAGGTAATTGAGGCGGGGACAGACACCCTCGGAGGCAGAAGCGTGCCTGCTGCCTGTAGCATCTGAAAGTTGTCTTAAGGGGCGCCATCATTTCTGAGAAAAGCCTGCAATGAAAACGCACTAAAGCTGGGTCTTTTTTCACCAACGAGGTGAAACAGGAAATGAAAGACCGGATGAACTCTGTATTGGTCAGGTCTAAGGCAGGCAGGCCAAAGCTCATCTTAATCTCTGCACAGTCAGGCAATGGAATTTGGAAATTCCTGTCAACTTTTTTATTTTTAATGAAATTGGGCCATGGAGGAGCATAGGGAGGTCTAGAAAACTCCCCCATCCCCACCTTTCCCTACAATACTTGAATGTGCATCTGGGAAATGAACCTCTCAGTGGAGGATCCAGACTTGGTTTCTTCCAAACGTTGACTCAATTCCTTAATAACTTTCTGTGTTTACTGGGAATTGGGATGAGGGAAAGGATGAGGTCAATTTACTAACTCTCACAGAGGGGAAAACAATTGCCATTTTCCCCAGCCTCAGATGGATTTATTCTCACAGATTTAGCCCTTTTTCCCCCTGGCTTAGTGGGAACCAGGTAGGGAAAACAGCCTGATATCTTCCAGAGCCCCTCTGGCCTGGTCAGATACAGTCTGAAATCAGAGAACATGTAGGCATTCATGGTGAAAGATGGATGGACAGCACAAGCATTGGGAAACCCTTAGTGTTCCTGGGACTGTGAAGACCCAAGGAAGTTCCATTTGGGTCAAATCTCATTTTACTTTGCAAACCTCAATCTCACCTTCACTTCTGGGTTGTGTCTTTAGTTCTGTGTTGGAAGCCCATCCCCTTTGCTTTGTGAGGGCCACATCTTGCTTGTTTCTCCAGCTTTGGGAGGCTGGTCTCCATTTCCCTTATAAGACTGCTCAAGGTTCTCCAAGTTAAGACGTGTCATTGATCCCATTGGCATTCTAAGACCCCATCTCCAATGTGCATTTTTAAATGTGTAAAATAGCATAATGAGATACCAAGGAAGTCAATTATATTAAAAAAGAGTTTCCAGAATTTAAGAAAAACCAAAGAAATCCAAACAAATTCATGAACCCCCAGTTAAGAGCTCCTGCTCTAAGTTGCCCATTGACATGGTGGGCACCTGATCTAACAGTAGAGAGGACATGATTAGTGAGGTATATTTTGAGGTAAAACTATTGGGGAAAAAAGTCAAAGGAAAAGAATCCTAAGATCAGAGGGTAATGTACTTCAAGCTAGAAGGGACCTTCAAGGCCATCTTGTCAAATCCCTCATTTTACTAATGAAGAAACTAAGTCCCAATGAAATTAAGAGACTAGCCCAGGGTCTCACAGTGGCAGATATTTTTTTTAAATGGAATTTGATTTTGATTATAGTAAAACATCCATTTCAGACTCATGGTGTGGGTCAGGGATTCTGAATTAGTGACCTTTCTGAATGATAGAGTATTTCCAACTATGTCACTCCTAAGCATGTGCTACAGCTTTACTCCACTCACTCTGGGCCACTAGTAGGCATCCTTAGTGCTACCTTCAGGAATGAAAAAGCATGCTCTGAAATCCATGTTCCAACTGTGTATGTAAAAGGTTATTTAAATATTTTCTAAAATTGCTTTTTCTTCTAAATCACTCTCTAAAATAGGGTCACCATCCCCTTGGAATCGCTATGCTTCTCACTTTATTTAGCAGACTTCTTGCAGTGATAATATCAGGGCAGAATGTAGCCCAGCTCCCTTTGACTTATCTCTGGAGAGGATCTAGTAAATGTTAAATTTATGGGGTTCAGACTAAAAGCTGTCCTCTCTGGGGTCTGATGCAGCGACTCTAGAAACTCTAGAATATTAGAGCTGGGGGGGCCCTTAGTATCACAGGAATCAAGATCCAGAGATGGAAAACACCTTAGAGGCCATCTTGTCTATCCTCTCATTTTACGGACGAGGGAAACTGAGGCCCAGAGCTTGAGTTCATATAAGAAGAGCCAGAGCTGGGATTTGAACCCACCTTCTCTGACTTTAAATCTCAGACTTTCCATCTATCCTAACATTTTCCCTATTTTAATCTGTGGTCCTCACTGCAGATTCCCCTTGCTGTTTTTAAGATTAGCACGATCATGGGACCATTAAGACCCGTATGGGAGGGGAGAGTGTTGGGGAACAGTTTCTAGCGAGCATGCTAAAACTTCTGCCATGGCTCCTGGACTGGATTTCCTGTTTCCTGGGTCTGCATTTGCATCATGATTGCTTTGTGAGGTGATTAGATATTGTTGTAGACAGAGTGACATGAAAAGACCTGAATTCAAATCTTGACTGAGATACTTACTAGTGGTATGTATGACCCTGAGTAAGTCACTTAACCTGTCTCAACTTCATTTACCTCATCTACAAAATGGGAGAAATAATAGCCCTTGGTTATTTTAGGGCTCCAATGGTATCTGTAAGGTTCTTTGCAAATCTGAAATCATTATTTAAATACTAGCAGTTTCTTCTGTTGAGGTGACATGGACTTTACTTTCTGTGAACCTCATATTTACTGATAACTTATTTTAGCTCTTGTTAAGGAGGCATTGAGCTATCCACAGTGTGAGCCAGGGTGCCAGTATTGTGCTTCTAAAATGAGGTCTTGCTGAAAGTTAAGAAAAAAAATAATTAGTTTGGTATATACTGAAAAATAATGGCACGAAACCATAACTCCTATTTGCGGGAAATTTTTGCTAAAGTTGCTAAAACATGTAAATAGTTTTCTCCTGCATAGTAAAGAGGACCTGGGAACATGGAGAGTTTAGGATGTCAAAGAAACACAGGAAGTTGGCCAACGGCCCACCGAAGGTTCTACTTGGATGTGCCATGGGACACCTCCAACCTGATATGTCAGGAAGGAAACTCATTCTCTTTTCTTCCAAATCCAGCCGTCCTCCAAACTCCCCTATTTATCTCAGTGGCATCACCTTTCCATCTCAGCCTATACTTAACCAGAACTAAAATATCATGGGAATTCCCGTATACGAAATGGAAGACAAAAGAGGCTTGAATATGAAACTGAGAATCTCTGTTCCTTTAAGTTTATTTTTAAAAAAATATACGTATACACACACACACACACATATTTGTGTCTAATGGTAGCCATTAGGCTCTAGTGTGGGGAGGGGGCAAGGAAAATGAGGAAAAAAAAGAAATTTACATGGAAACTTAATTATATATTTAAAAAAGAATAGCAAGTTGTACATAATAGATTTGAAGCTTCATGCACAATCATATTTTTATATTATACTATGTTATAGAAATGTTTGTTTTATTCCATAAATTAAAAATAAAATATTTTTCAAAACATGCAATCAATTCATCACATTACTTCAGAAGCTTTACTACTTTAGAAGTGGCCCTGCTTCAGAACGTTCTCCTTCCTTGTTACATTAAAAATATTATATCATATATTATTATAATATAATATAATATACATAGATAGTGATCTTCCTTCTTCTCCTTCATCACCATTGCTACCTCCTTCTCTTTCCCCAAATTCAAATTTAAAAATACATTGTAAAAAATAAATGTATTCAAGTTAGAGGCATCCCTGCACGATCTCCTTCTTCATCTTGAGTTCCTCACCTCCCAGGAGGGGGGAGCATGTTTCAGGGACCATCAGTCCTTCCTTCGCTCACGTTTATGACTTTGGAATTATCCTTGGCCCTTTCCTCTCCCTCAGTCCCCAGGCTCAGGCATTTGCCAATTCCTACTTATTGTACTTGGGCAGCATTTTATTTTTTCCTCTACCTCTTCTCCATGCACACGGTTCAGGTCCTCCTCACTGCTTCCTTGGATTCTGGCCTTCTACATGGTCTCTCAGCCTTTTCCCTCTCTGATCCATCCTCCTTGCCCCATTTGGATGCCTAAAACATGGCTCTGGCCGTGACACTATGCTTACCGCTCCATGTTCTGTGATGGCTCCCTCTCGTCTCTAGGATAGATCGCTAGGTAGGGGTCTTTTGGAACAAGGGAGGTGGGAGAGGGAGGGAGACTTGAGGCTGGGCTTTGCAGTTACGTCTCTATTTCTCAGAGGTTTGGGAGGGGATGAGAGGCAACCGAGGTGACGTGGCAGCTCTGGATTTTGAGATTTGGAGTTAGAAGACCTGGAGTATGTATTAAGCACCTACTACATACCAGGCACTATGGCGAATGCTGGGATACAAGGGCAAGGAATGAAACAGCTCCTACTCATAAAGAGCTCACATCCCAATGGAGGGGGATGGGGACCAACCAGAAAATACATATTAAAGGGGATGGGGTAGCACGTACCTATAAAGTAAAGACAGTATAAATATGAAATCAGCAAAAGATCAAATGTGATCACATATGGAAGGTGATTGGAAAGCCTTAAAGTGCCATCTAAGCACTAGCTATGATAATAATGATAATAATAACTATAATTTATAACATTAATAATAATTATAACTGTTATTTTGGACATATTTATAGACTACCTCTGGTTTCACCATTAGCCCCTATTTAGACCAGCACAGTACATATTGCTAGGCTGTGTTTGCTAAGCCCATTATTTCCCGGGCTTCATTTCACGTAGATTTACACATCCGTGTAAATGTAATAAACTCTATTTTAGGTTTTATTGCTTTGGGCCAAAGACTGTTGGGGGATTGACAGAGCCCAGAGCAGCTTCTCAGAGCTGGGTGATTGTGTTAGTGAGTTTCTGAGCTGGAGAATAGTGACAGTTTCAGGGGAGCATATGGATATAGAGTTTTGTCTGAGATTGGGGATAAAGAATGAGATCGACGAGGTAGAATGATCTATTGGGATGATTTTAATCATCCTCTTTCCTCTGGGGTAAAAATGGATTAAATATGTTCTTACCATTGAACGGAGGGCTTTAATTACAGAGCCAACAGTTAGAATCATCGAGGGGGCACGGTGGAGCAGAGGATAGAGACCTGGGCCTGGATTCAAGAAGTCCCGAGATCAAATTCTGCCTTCAGATACTAGTTATGTAACCCTGGGCAAGTCATTTAACCTCCATTTGCCTCAGTTTCCTCAAGTAAAAATGAAAGTAGTATACTCAATGGCCTTCAAGGCCCCTTCTACCTCTGACTATGATCCCATAAAGGGTTCCATCAGCCAAAGAGTGAACTGAACTGTTCCACACCCAAGACAACAGACTATGAGATAAGATGTCAAGCAATGAATTGGGGGCTTATCTGTACAGGAATGAGATATGACATGAGGAAAAAAAAATAAAAATAAGAATTAACAAGGTTTTTATGGACTAAAAAAGTAGAAAAGTTTGCCTTGGTTAAAAAAATGGAGATCGTTGGAGAAGAAAAAAAAAGAAAGATAAATTAAAAGTTTTTTTTTATTATTTTTACTATAAAGAGAAGAGATAGGCAGCATAAAGAATCTTTTTTGTCATTTTATTTTGAAATATTCATTTATACAAATATTTCATTGTGTTTTCCTGAAAAAAAATATTTGTTAGTCTAAAAGTTAAATCGTGAATAGTGATTAGGTACAGTGGGAATGATCCACTGGAGAAGGAAATGGCAAACCATTCCAGCATCTTTGCCAAGACCATTGCGTGGCCTGCTTTGGCCCACAGGCTCACAAAGAATGACCACCAGTGAATGAACAGCAGTAGTGGGAAGGAATAGTGGGTTAGGTGAGTGGACTGAAGTAGGTGTGTTTGATGTTTCTTAGGTTGTCTTTCTTGGGATTGAGGGTAACTTGGTAAGTTCTTGTGTTGTCAGGAGCTTCACTGCTCCCTTCTGAAGTCTGAGGGCCCAGTGCTTTTCATTTATGAAGAAGAGAGCTGATCTAATAGTTGATCATCATTGGCTTCTCCAAACATTTACTGAGCTGGCCCCGCTTTCATGGCCCCTTGGTTTCTGAGGTCTAACTTGCCATTTTGCTAGCAGCTGGACTCATGGGCTTTCTTCTTTTTCGACATGAACTGAAATGAATTGATTTAAAATCTGAGATCAGGTTAGGGGCAGATCCCTTCTAAAATGACCCCACTAGATTCGAGATAAAGTTGAGAAAGAAAACATCTACACCATTAAAAAGTAAGGATTGGTGAAAGAAGCAGCCTGGATGTTGGCGAGGTGACGGCTTACCTGGGACTCAGGGAGACCTGGGTTTGAGTCCATTTCTGACACATCCTGGCTGTGAGGCAATCACAACTTCCACGTCCTGGGCCCATCACCTCGCCTCTCCTAGACTCTCTTCATCACCCCGGACAGCTAAGGCTGACCTCCATTGATAGAGGGAGTTTCCACACCACAGGGTCCTCACACTGATGGAATCACAGGTCTAAAACAATTGATTGGCATAACTCACACACGCACACACCCGCACCCACACACACATTTATTCCCCGATCCATGATTTCCACTGAATCTTTCATTGATGAGATAACATCAGTCCATTGTGGATAAGTGGAAGGGCTTGCCTTGAGCAGAAGTGCACTTCCCCTCATTCCACCAATTCAGTTCTAGCAAAGGCCAGATCACGTGCCCTTGTCGGGCATTATGTGGAGGGGGTTGTTTTTCAGGTCTGGGTTGGTGGAAATGGTGACACAGGTGCTTTCAAAGTGTAATTCAGACTTTATCAGAGAGCAGTGGGACAGTTTGAGAGTTCATCTCATAGCCTCCAATGCCCTTCTGATGTTGGTGAGGGAGCCTTTTCTCCACGCCTGCCTCCCCTCCCCCAATTCCCCCATAATGTCGCTGATGTTTGATGCCAGGGGGCTCTGGAGCCTCTGAAAGGCTCCGATGGGCTCGCGAGGCTGTCTGTTCCTCCTCTGACAAAGACGGCTGTAGAATGGGCCTTTGCACCTTTGGGGCATCCCTGATGAAGAAGAGGGAGTCGCAGAAGCCTCTGACGCCAGAGTCTGCTGGCGTAGGCAGAATGATGGGCCTCATGGATTGATGTGGTGTTTTCATGACCTTTACCAGGGTTCTGTCTCTGACATTTTTATCTCTTGCACCAACGGGAGAGAGTAAAGGAAAATAAACATCTTTCCTTTGGTCACATCAAGCTCTGTGAGCAGCGGTCTGCCAAGGCCACTTATCTTTTCTTGGATTGCCTTGGGACTCATTTTGGGGTCATCACCCTTCATCAGGAAAGTGACATGTTGGTGTAATTGAAAGACAGTGTAGTCCAATGGAAAGAATGTTGTACTGGGGCCCCACAGGGCACCGTGTTCAAATCCTGACTCTACCAATCTCTTTCTGTATGACCTAGAGCAATCCACTTCACTTTTGTGGAATTAAATGACATCTAATGACCCTTACAACCTTAAAGCTGTGAACCAAATCCCTTATGAAAATAAGGGTCATCTTCAGAGGTACCATGGCGGCAATGAGTTCAGACAATTGATAGTTTGTGCTCCAATGTAGGCCTATTCTTTGCTCCTCAATGACTTTGCTCTTCCTTCTGGCTTTCAGAGTCATCGGTCAGCAGCAGCTCTCCTGGATCTGGCCCCAGCTCACCCAGCAATGGACCTGCCACCAACATGGCAGAAAGCAGTGAGACATTGCTTGTACCCCCTGCTCCGCACCCAGAGGTAAGCTCACTCTGCCAAGTGTGAATTGGTTGAAAACCAACATTGTCTCCCTTATTGCCATACCTACCCTTGCTGAGGGAGGTTTTCAAAGGATTGAGTTGAATTCAGCAATCATCAGAGTGTGCCAGATAGGTTGCAGGCACTGTGCTGGATGCTGGGAAGCCAGAGATAAAAGAGAAATGGTTCCTGCCCTCAAGGAGCTGACATTCTACTGGCCAACACGTACACAGCAGAAGTTCATGTAAAAGAATTTCAAGACAAGCATTCTAATGACTTAGGGGGAGGGAAATCAGAAGAAGCCTTGGGCAGGGGATGGCAGCTGAGTTACGTTTTTAAGGAACCAGAGGTGAATGCCGACTGCTTTCCATACCCAGGGGACAGCCTGGGCAAAGACAGAGAGGTAGGAGATAGAACATCCCAGATGGTGATAAGTAGCAAGTGGAATGGAGAAGGAAGGCAGCACCCACAATCCCCTCTGCTGATTGGGAGCCCAGCACCACCGAGCTGAAAGAGGTGCTTTTTAGTGACCACTCTGGTGACAAGATCATCATCTGGAGGTCACCAGCCTTCTAGTAGTAGCACCAGCTCAACTGACCCTGTCTCCAGGAAGCATTTCCTGATTCTGCTAAATGCTAGGGCCTCCTCTCTGCTGATCAGCTCCAATTTGTCCTGTATTTAATTTTATTTGTACATAGCTGTTTGCTTGTTAGCCTCTCCATTAGAAGGTGAGCACACTGGGGGCAGGGGCTGTCTCTCGCCTTTCTTTGTTTCCTCAGAGCTTAGCACAGTGCCTGACATGTATTAGGCACTTAATAAATGCTTATTGTTTGACTGATTCACTTAGGCTTGGCCTTGAATGAGATGATGTTAGGACCCACTGTCATATGCTTTAAGACTCCAGGCTCACCTCTAGGTCATGACAAATAAAGCTTTGGAGAACTATTCAGTGAAGATTCCCATTCCTTATCCAAAGAAAGCGTATTCACAGAATATTTTTGTTGTTCAGTCATTTCAGTTGTGTCTGACTCTTTGTAACCTCGTACTGTGAGGAGAAAGCCTGTGTCATACCTGTCCCTTCGTACCAAGACTAGCCAAGAGGTGCACAGTTTGTTTATTGTTTTCAAAACTAATATTTCTTTGAAATCCATGGGTCATGTTGAAAATGAGAACACAGGAAAAGAATCATTAGTTGATATGGAATGTGGAATCTGTGGAGTAGAATTGTAGGATTGGAAGAGTGAGAGGAAACAGTGAATGACATATTGGACAGAGATGGTCTGGAAAATGGCAGACATTGACTAGAGGAATCCTTTCCATTGATAAGCAGTCGTTTCCTTGATGCTGGGTAGGCTAACACTGATGCTGTGTAGGGATCCCTCAGTATGAGGCAATTCACACAAAGTGTTGATGTAACATTTTTGAAGGGGAAACAGAGTTTGTCATTAACTCATCTAAGAGTTCCTTCATAAGAGGAAGTGTGGAGCAGTGTATGGAGGGTCAGCCTCAGAGGCAGGAAGCCTTGGGCTCTCAACACGTATGTGACTTTAAGCAAGTCATAGAACTAATCCCTCAGGCAACCCTTGAAAAATACAAGTAGCAAAGCAAGGGACGATGTGTATTTGTGAAGTCCCTAAGCCAATGGAATCTCACGTCTGGTCCATCTATGAACTGCAGTCCATTCCTATCTCCAAAAATAATCCTTCAGACTCATCTTTATGTTTGCTTGTTGGTTTTCCCAGCAGTTGTATAGTGTAGTAGAAAGAACATTAGGCTCTGAGAATGGGACCCAAGCTTACCACTAAGTCGCTATGTGACTGGATCTCTTGGAGTTTTCAGTATCCTAATCTACACAACGGGCGTATGGGACTAGATCCATTCCACTTCTCTCACTAAATGACTAATATGTAAATAGGTTAGTTCTTGTTAGAGGTTTGATATATTTTCCAAAGAGAAAAGAAGACTGAAGAACCATCTTTAACATCATGGTGACTGGCCATGTAGGGGACAGCCCTGCCCCCATCCCCCGCCTCTGATTTGAAAGATGAGGAATGAGGTACAGAGGAGGTTAAAGGGCTGGCAGAGATGTTTTACAGGGTTGTAATGGCCGGGGAAGGGAGGAAGAAAAACAGCTCTGATTCACCCCAAGAGAGACAAAGTTTCTCTCTCACGCAACCTCTTGTGATTTTAATACAGCTCAGGGCTAATGGCGTCAGGAAAGAGGTCATTAGGTTGTAGGTAAAGGGGCAAAACCCAAAGAGAACGTTAGTGATCTCAGATATAAATTTCAGAAGTGTTCCAAATTGGCCAAAAAAGGGAAAAAAATAAAACTTGCCCAAATACCAAAGGCATTAGGTCCTTGCTGTCTTTATCTCATGCAGTGATGGAGTCTCTGGGGTAAGAGGGACCTTGGAGATATTCTCATCAAGGCCCCTTATTTTAAAAATGAGGAAACTGAGACCCATAGGCTTTTCCCTTGCTATAATAACAATAACAACGGTGCCAACAATACAGTCTGGAGCGTGATCCCGAGTGTGCCCTTGCTCTGTATTCCTGAAGGTTCGTTGTTTCCTCTGAGAATCACTCCAGTACTGGAACAAAGCTGGGGAGGGATCTTAACCTTTCTTCTGTAGATGAGAAAACTAGGCATTAGAATGAACTTTTGTGAGATCCCCAAATTAGCTCATTTTATAGTCAATGCTGGAACCTGGGTTTCTGGAGTCCTAATATAGTTGCCTGTTTGACTCTGTCTTGCAACCTGTTAATGTAAATATCAATGTCTTTGTACCTTAGACTGAAAAATAATAAGGGAAAGCTAGATGGTGTGGTGCATAGTGCTCTGGACCTGGAATCAGGAAGACCTGGGTTCAAATCCAGCCTCAGGCACTTATTAGTTGTACGACGTTGAGCAAGTCCCTTAACTTCTGTCTGCCTCAGTTTCCTCATCTGGAAAATGGGGATAATAATTGCATCTGCTTCCCAAAATTGTGAGGATCAAATAATATATTTGTAAAATATATTACAAACCTTAAAGTACTATATAGATATTATTATTGTTGTTGAATAGTGTTTTATCATCAAATAAAAGGCACCTCTTTATTTGACTGTGTTTTCATAGTATTTATGAATATTTGTGATTTCATCCTTGCATTAAAAAATGTGAAAGGCAGATAGAATTGTAATCTAATCCTTTACCTTAAACTCCTAGAGCTCCAGTTATCTCATCTCTCACTATAGGATAACAGTAATAACAGCAACAATAATAATAATAACAATAACAACTCATTTATAGAGCCCATTGAGGTATCTTAATAGTGCCAGGCTTGGAGTTGGGCTGACTTGAATTTGACTCCTACCTTAGACACTTGCTATGTGACACTAGAAAAATCATTTAACCTCTGACTGCCTCATCTGTAAAATGGGGATAATAATAGCACCTACTTCCCAGGGCTGTTGTGAGAATCCAATTCAGTAGTATATGTAATGTGCCTTGCAAATTTTAAGCACTATATATACTTTAGCCATAATTATTTTTGCTTTTAGTTTTGCAAAGCATAGTCATTATGATAACCCTGGTAGTGATGTGAAATATTGCACCCATTTTGGAGATAAAAAGATTGAGATTCTGAGAGTTCTGGATCTTACCCATGATCACTCAGACCCAGATCTCCTGCCTCACAAGGGTATGTGACTATATGATTTGTCTGTCACAGTGGTTATGAAAATTGTGCCTGATAAATATGAAGGTGTTACATAAATGTGTTAGAATAATTGTTTAAATGACCATTGTCATTATTATTTGCACTGAGAAATCTGAAGCCCAAAGGAGTGAGTGAGTCCCCTAAGGTCATTGCAAGGCTGGGATTAGCTCCCAGGTCTTCTAAAGCCAAGGTGACTGTTCTTTCTTTAGATCACATCCTCTGTTTATCAATTTAATTTTATCTTGAGGTCATTTTAATATTTTTCTTAGAAACCACATTATTCTGAGTAGGTCATGCAGGCTGTCAGTAACATAATTGCTTCCTGTTAGAATGATTGATTTTAGTGCGACTTACCCAGGAAGGAGCATTGATGCATTGTTTAGAATTGTGCCCCCATCTCATTTTCAGGTGTGCCTGCATTTTGCATAGTTAAGACTACCCTGAATGGCATCTTAGTAATTGCCAGGGCCCTGGGGAGCCAGCGTATCGTATAGGGAAAGGAGCTCGGAAGTTGCAGTTAAAGGATCTGAATCTGAGTCCTGATTCTACTGTACTCTCACAGTGACCTTGGACAAGTCAGTCACCTCTTTTGTCCAGTTGAACTTGATTGTCTCTGACCTCAGTGAATCAATTGTTAATCATATTCATTAAGAACCTACCATGGGCCAGGCATTCATTGGGCAAGACACAGCAAATGAAGCAGCCCCTACTTACCAGGGACACACATTCTACTGGGTTAAAATAAGGATGTTGATATAGATATGTACATACATGTGTGTATTGTGTAGTGTGTGTGTGTGTGTGTGTGTGTGTGTGTGTGTGTGTGTGTGTACCATCAGCTGATGGCCCTAAGGATCACATTTGCCATGGTGTCTGGTACAGTAGATGGAAAGCCACCCACTAGATGATTTGAGCTGAAATTCTGCCTTTGACACATACTAACCATGGAATCCATGGGAATTATTTTACTCATTAGGACATCAAGTAACTCAAGATGATAAGTTGACAATTTGCAAAGCCCCTCCTCCTTAAAAAGTGACTTGCTATTCAGAAATATGAACTGAATAATTATGGATAAAAATTTTTCTTCTGTATGTACTTCCATAAATAGAGACATGCACACACATCAAAATAGCTGATTAACACAAACCATTGCAGGGGGAAAAGAAATGTGCTAAAGAGAAAAACAAATATATAGAAAAGGAAATTATTTTCTCTTGTTATTGTCAACGCTTTTATTGTTTAGTTTAAACCAAGCGAAATCAATGTCTCCAGTCGCATATATACAGTTGAAGGGTTTTT